TAACATATGCATGTTAAGGACAAGGCCTTCAACTGTTCCTGTACCCTGAAAACCAAAAGGATTTGATAAGTGAAGAGAATGATTGCACAAAAAGCACATATGCATAAGAGAAAGATGTTTCTTACAGTTTTTTCATTCAATACATTAAATGAATCCTTATGATCCCACAGTCTGCTACGTTCTCCAGGTTCCTCGGATGATTCTTGGCGAATAACTTCTCTTCCCATGTCCCGAAGCAATTGATGCATCATCAGTTTGTTGCGATTATCAATGGTTATGAGACATTTGTTAATTAGGTTTTGAATTCCAACGCCCGTATAGAAATCACATCCCTTTAATATAGTAAGCATGTAATTTCTGTCCTTTCCAATGAAGAAGCAAGCAATATCAAGGAATAAATCCTTGTCATGATCATCATCCAAAGAATCATAACTTATCCTAAGTTTTTAAGAATTTGATTGTCAGGAATTGCTTTCAATTTCTGTAACGCACTTTCCCATACGTTAACATATTTTCTAGATAGAGAACAACCCAAAACTTGAAGAGCTAAGGGAAGCCCTCCACAATGTTCTATTACACGTTTGGAGTGCTCCACATAAGCTTCAAGAGGATGGTCTTGTTCAAAGGCATGCCAACTAAAGAGCTGAAGTGATTCGTTGTCATTCAATTCCTTAACCTTATGCAATTCACAAACTTCATGGGCCTTTAGCAGTTGCTCGTTTCTAGTTGTAATGATAATTTTACTTCCTGAATAAAACCAATCTCGCATTACAAGTACCGCATTTAACTGGCGCAACTCATCCACATCATCAAGAATAATAAGAACTCTTTTAGAACATACAGCATCTTTAATACTAGTGATTCCTTTATCAACATTGTATATCTTTTCCTTTTTCCCCTTCAAGATATCTGAAAGAAGTTTTTTTTGTAAACGAATCAAACCATTGGGTTGTTCTGAAGTTTCTCTGATATTTGAAAGAAAACTGCAACTTTTGAATTTGTCAAAGTTTAGGTTATAAACAGCTTTGGCAATGGTTGTTCCCTATTCCACCCATCCCATAGATCACAAATATGCCAACATCAGTTGAGCCATCTTGTAACCAGAAGTTAATGTTCTTGACTCGAGAATCTATACCAATTGGATAGGGGGCAACACTCAAGATTGTGCGATTCAATTTATTCCTGATTTCTTTAACAATTTTCTGGATAAACTTTGACTCAAACCTACATAATGAAAACAGAACAGAAAACAAAGTAAAGTGAGCATGTCTTGAGTTGAAATATAGATGAACTGTTGAATTCACATGAAAATTCTTTAAAGAATCATGGTCTTTAATTTTGCACCATCACGACTAGAATTAACTTCATATCATCAATTTCGCATTGCCTCTAAAATGAACAAGATATTCCATTTAGTCTTCTCATATTTGATGCTTCTCTTTATTTTGTTTCCTCTTCTAAACAGGAAGCTTCCCATAATGAAGCCTCATAAAAGAACACCCTGAAATTTTTTACAGAATCAAAGTTTCTGTCATGATGTAAACAGTGGATCATTGCATATGACTGCAAATCTCTCTTGCACATCTGGTGAAACTATACTTGTATTATGCACATATATTCCCAGCTCAGTCATCTTATGTAAGTCCTATTGATTGTATATCAACAGCAGGACCAAACCAAACCAAGTTCGCATTGTTTTGCAACTGTATATGTTGTTTCCAATAAATAGGTTGGACATCATAGTCTTAATAATATACTTTACAAATTCTCATGAAGATGTGTTAGCTATTGGTTCAGTGGTTAAAACTTCAAACTCAGCCTATTAACCGTGATTCTATGAGTTCAATGGGACTAAACTAGGCATAATTTTTTAATATATATTCACCTGTGTACTTATATTATCTTTTTGAATCACAAGTATGCTTCTATTACATCTTGTTCTTGCTTTCTTTCTGAAAATTTTGGAACACCAAGTTGTTGCCTTCGTTGTTGTCAAAATGGTAATTGTTTATGTTAGGAATATTTGCAAAGTGTGCCATAACCCACACCAAAACAGGTCAGGTGTAAACCACTAAGCTATTTGCATATTTCCCTTCTATAGTTTCAATCTCTTTCACAGGTTTTGTGAGACTTTGTTAAAGACACTCTTGAGTCATTCATTTAGTAATAATTTTTAGTATCATCTTAGAAAACTAACAAAAACATGTAACAAAATCCAATTTTATGAGATCTGGAAAACAAAGGCATGCCCAAGAAGGGGTTTTAGAGGAAATTACCCATCATCATGATTTTGTAAGACCATCCCACCCAAATCTGCAACTTCTGTAAGAGCTTGCGTCCACCTCTCCACTTTCAATCCATCTTCTTGCCTTGCAAATGCTTCTGCTAAACTTCCTATCTGATTCCGAACTTTGGAGGGTTCTATGCCATAGAAGATGGGCACGATGACATGCCCAAATTTTTTCCTGCGGTCAAGGATTTTTACAAGTTCATCAAGACACCAACTTGAAGAAGCATAGTCTTTCTACAAGACAATTACTGAAATCCTTGATTGCTCGATTGCTTTTTTAAGTTCCAATTCAATATTTTCTCCTTTCTCAATTTCCTCATCATCTCTAAAGGTGTGAATTCCCACTTGCACCAAAGCTGTATACAGGTGATCAGTAAAGGTCTTGCGGGTGTCTTTGCCTCTGAAACTCAAGAACACCTGATAAGTACAGCGAGACATGGAAGAGGATGCAGCCATCTAATAGAACTCCAACAGAAGGATAAGTGAAGTAACTATGTAGCTTCAGAGACTGACACCATCTATGAGAAGGTGAGGTCGCCTTTCTTTCCAGCCACCATACGGGTTCACCTCAAGCCTTAAAGACGGAGAAGGGGAGGAGCAGTTATCTATGTAATTACAGTCTTTGTTGGCCATTGTTCTGGTCGAGCACTCTCTTTTCTTTGTCCAATTCCGTCTTACCAAACAAGACTGACTTCTTACCAACCTGCGAAGGGTTGTGAGGCTGAACCAGATACAAAGAATGAATCTATATCCATGGACGGAAGTCACAATGGATATATACATGTGAAGATGCAAAAATAAAATAAATTAAATATATAGAGAATTGATGTAATCAAAGTAATCAAGCCAAATGACTTTGACTCATGATGGAGACAAGGCAACATAGGTATATACCTGTGAAGATGCCAAAATAATAAATAAATAAATAATTAAATATACAAAGGATTGATGTAATCAAAGTCTACAAGCCAAATGACTTTGAGAAATCACGATGGAGACACAATTGATTTAATAAAATAAAGGGCTGAGAAAACAAAGTCATTGGGATCAAAATAAATTAAGCCATTTAACCAAAGTTCATTGAACCAAACTGTTGGAACTCTTTTTTTATATAGAAAAAACTGTTGGAACTTAAGGGGTATGTTATCATCAAGTGCTGCCTTATCTTCTGTACTGTTTTCATTTCACATTTCCTTCAATAGGTCATTATCAGCCTCATCATGGCATTGCTTTCAGAAACACACCTCCCTTGCAGTTTCAGGCTTGCACCTGGGTGTAGGAAAATATAGAGCTGCGATGAATGTTAAAGAAACTCAACAAAACCCAGAACCTTTTGTTATACATTTTGAACTACCAAAGAAGTATTTTGTTGACATATCTGATAAAAATGCACATTAAAAGATGTTTAGTAATGACCTCACCTTTTAGCCAAATCAGCCTGAATTGGATAGGAATCTCAATCATCGTAAAAGCTACAAATGTTTACAGCATACATACATATAACACGAAAGTGAGCACCAAAAGGGTTGTTAAAGAAGATAAAATTAGTAACAATAAACCAGAACATATATCAGATTAAAAAAACCCTGCAAATAGACCACCTATCTTACCCTTTGAACTAGGAAACTTACCCCCAGCATCCTGAGAATTTGTTTCTCTGCTTATGCAACTTGCAGTCCCATCACTGTATTCAATGACTCCAGTTTTAACCTATCTTTAGAATTTATTTTCCTTATCTTGTTTTTGATATAGCCAAGAGTCAGGAGATTAAACAATAAAAGTGGCTTGATCTGAAAATGTTCTTTATTAATTAACTTAGTTTTGTATTGTATTCTGTCTTTCTTTCAGAAATATATACATGCATAAATAAGTATGTTTTTTTCTCCTGTTCTATGTGCAACTTCCTTTTGTTAAGAACAGAGTTTCTCTGAAGCAGCAGAAGACATTGCACTAAAATATTTTCATCATTCCAAAGAAGTATCAAAATGCTTAATTATTGATCGCAATTTGTAATTTACTGAATTGTTCTCCTAATCAGTCCAGTTATCTGGGCTATAATTCAAGATTCTTTGATGAGTTTTGAACCAGTGATTGCAGAGAGCAGAATAACATATATCCATTGATGGCACTCTGAATGTAAAGGATGCATGTGTGACATATTTATATCCACCTAGTCCCTTCAACCATACTTTTAGTTGTCCACCTTAAAAGAAGAATTTAGAGTAGTGCTGAACAAATTTGGAGTAGGCGATGAGTTGGCAGACTATCAAATGCATGAATTATTGCTTTCAATCCTACAATTAAGAAAAATGGCATACATATTTTAATTACTTTGTGTTGCACATTCTTAGGGAGTTCCATTAATGTAAGAGAACATATGACAGTAACCAAAAGAATGAGTAGGAAGATCCCAAGAGTGAAATCCCCACTCCAAAATTAAGGGGGAAAATGAGAGCAAGAATTGTATACATGTTAGCTTATACTTAAACATTTCAATATATGTTAATGTTGAAATGAATAAGGTTTTAATACATGCATATATGTAATACAAATAACCAGTACACAACAAGGTCAACTCAAAGAAATACAAAAGATAATGGGTGTTTAACATAAAAATCAAACTGAGTTATAAAGTGTATCACCTTTTTTTCTTTTTTTCTTGGCCTCAATGCTGAGAAAGATGTTACTACACATTCATTTCTACAGCTAAATACATGTGATTTGGTGGATATAATGATAATCTTGTAAATCAAATACCAAAAATGATGGCAACTCGTAAGAAGCTGGGAATGGCTAACAAAAGCCCAAGCAACTCTGCGATCAACAAGGAATGGAGGATATGAAAATTTACAAAATCTTGATCTCTTCATTGTTGTCTTTTTCATGACCTTCTTCCTCCTCTTCATCTGCAAAAGGTAAACATCACCAGAACTGTCAAAATCATTAAATAAGTATAAATGACAGGTATTAAACAAGTTATCGAGTTGACTTTAAGAGAAATGGCCACTTTTGTCTGAAAAGAAACTAAAAAATGTTCAAATCAGTTGCCAAAGCATATCTTCTAGCATCATCAACTTGATTATCTTTTCCACGTCTTGATATTGGAGAGGTTTATGATGCTTATATTTTTAAGTGATTATTTTTAGTACTTGAAGCAAATGGTAAGCTATACACACCTGTAGCTACTACTGTGCAGCAAAGAGGTTTGTAAACACTGGGGACATCCCATCAATCACTTGAATGGTTTTGAGGAGGATATAAGTCCAGATATTGATTATAATGGCAGAGGAGATACACACCTTCGGTCCTCTGATATGCTGACAAATCTCCATCTATAACACTCTGATAAGAAGGAAAGTTGCCATGTTGGACTACTTCTATTCCACTATTTGATAGGGAACACTTCTCTTCATGCTCATACACAAAGTCGGTTCCACATTCCTTTACCTTGAAACCAACTCCAACAACCATTGAAACATTCACTTCATCACCAGCTTGCAACTGATTCCTAAAGTTCCAATGGCTTAACCATATCATATCTTCATTGCCGTGGAATGTCGGGCCATAGATCCATTCCAGACCCTTGGTCTTGTTACTAATCTTAATAGAAAAATCATGCAAATTTCCATCTTTATGAGAGTGTGAACATACATAAACAACGCACACATTCAAGCCTCTTATCTTGAAATTAGGAAGAGAAGGCACTACGAAAGACATCGAAGAATCCAAACGCTTATTGCTGAACCAATATGGAACCTTGCTGCCAGGAAGGTAAGTGCTGAATATACCAAATTCATAGAGCCCCTATGCCATGAAAATGTAATGTTAGATACATATTTATAGAGGCATATAGAGACTGAAACATAGACAGAGACAGAGAGAGCACCTGAAGGGGCCACTTCTTTCGAGTAAATGTCAAGTTATTGCACAATTCCACCTCAATGTTTCCTTCGGAAACCAAGTCAAGCAAGCCCAAATTCTTGATGATTTCTGGATGAAAGCTCCCTATGGGTTCTAACTGGAACACGCCATCAATCTTAAACAGTTTGTCGCAACCACTTAGATGCATGACATTCATTGATTTCAACAGGTTTGAAGGAATTGTCATTCTTTCCAGTGATTTGCAATCTCTTGCAACAAGTTCCTTCAAACTTGATGGAAGCTTTGGAAGTGACTGGAGCCTTGTGCACGTATCTAACCAAAGAGACTTGAGCATAGTAAGGCCACTGATGCCAATGGTAAAGCATGATTGACTTATGGTTGTCCCATAAGCATGTAGTACAGTCAAAGGTTTCAATTTCTCAAGCTCCATAGGCAACATTTCAAGGTTTGAGCAACCTGATAGAATGAGTTTCTCAAGGGATTTTAGCTGGCCAATTTTTCTTGGAAGCTTCCTAAGATTTTTACAGCCTTTTAAATTCAAAAGAACAAGTTTCTCTAGGTCCCCAATGGATTCGTGAACCTTGACCAAGCATGTACAGTCCTTAAGCAATAGTCTTTCAAGACTACAAAGTCCTGTGAAGTCGGGGGTTCTGATAAGGCTATGGCAATGACTGAGATTAAGAAATTTCAACAATTTGAGAAACTGAGAGAGAGAGAGAGAGAGAGAGAGAGAGAGGGAGAGAGAGAGAGAGACAGAGAGAGAGATTAGTCCTTAGAAACTCAAATTTAATCAACAAATTCTACACAAAGGTGGGGGGGGTTTACCTTTCTTCCCTTCCAAACTTGTTCCAAGCTGCTATTGCGCAAATCAAGAGAAACCAGGCTCTCCAAAGGAAAATTTCTAGGTATAGATTTTAAAGGGAATCCACGCCAACACAACAATCTTAATTTTTTAGGGAACTCTTTATAGCTTCCACCGAGTTGCACATAATTAAGTTGGAGCAGTCTTAGTTTGTGCATCATCGCAAATGCATCAGTTTTGAAGTTTACCTCCTTTGGCATGGGTAATAAATTTGTGAACACAGTGGTCATTGATTGCCAGGAGAACAAGCCAAGACGACGCCGTTTCCATGGATTGCTTTGGCAGGGCATAATGGATCTGTCTGGAGTATCTTGCAAAGGGTGTCGTTTTGCATGACTATTAAAAGTTGTCATGGAATACTTATCTTTCGTCAACATATGCATATTGAGGATGAGGCCTTGAACCCTTTCTGTACCCTAGTAGCAAAAAAAAAAGAAAAAGAAAAAGAAAAAGGTCATTTAACAAGCAAGACAGAAAAGCTCATACACACAAATAAGAAGATTTTTTTATTTCTTCTTTATTTTAGGAGACCAATAGGAAGCATGTTTCTTACAGTTTTTTTACTCAATACATGAAGGGAGTCATCATGATCGCACAGTATTCTTCGTTTCCCAGGCTCATTGGGTGACTCTTGGTGAATAATTTTTCTTGCCATGTCACGAAGCAATTGATGCATAATCAACTTATTGCCTTTTCCAATTGTTATAAGACCTCTATCCATGAGGTTTTCAATTCCTACTGTTGTAAATGAATCACATTCATCTAGTACTTTAACCACATATTCCTTGTCCTTTCCAACAAAAAACATAGCTATGTTAAGGAATAATTTCTTGTCATGATCATCTAGTGACAGATAGCTTATAGCTAGTGTTTGTAGGATTTGATTGCCTGTGATTGCTTCCATTTTCTCTAATGCAGTTTCCCATTCCTTTAAACTTCTGCCGTAGAGAGAAGAACCCAATAGTTGAAGAGCTAAAGGAAGCCCTCTGCAGTGCTGTAGTACACTTTTTGAGTATTCCAAGAACCCTTCAATAGGATGACTTTGTCCAAAGGCATGCCAACTGAAGAGCTGGAGTGATTCATTATCGCCCAACTCCTTAACCTTATGCATCTTGTGCACTTTATATGACTTCAGCAATTGCTCATACCTAGTTGTTATGATAATTTTACTTCCCGAATCAAACCAATCTTGCATTCCTAGTAGTGCATTTAACTGATCCAATTGATCCACGTCATCAAGAACAGCAAGAACTCTTTTACAACTTAAAGCATTTTTAATCTTAATGATTCCTTCATCAACACTGCCAATTTTTTGCTTTCTACCCTTCATAATATCCGAAAGAAGTTGTTCTTGTAAACGAACCAAGCCATTGGGTTGTTTTGAAGTCTCTCTAATATCTGCAAGGAAGCTACTACGTTCGAATCTGTCAAAGTTCAAGTTATAAACAGTTTTGGCAATGGTTGTCTTCCCTATTCCACCAATTCCAGATATCACCACTATACCAACATCGGTTGCCCCATCTTGTAACCAAACATTAATGTCTTTGACTCGAGAATCTATTCCAATTTGGTGTTGGGTAACACTAAAGACTCTACGATTCACTTTGTTCCGGATCTCTTTGACAATTTCTTGGATGAACTTTGCTTCATGCCTAAAAAATGTGATCAAAATTAAAAACAGAGCAGAGTAAGCATTTCATGAGTTAGTTTGAACAAAAAATTCAAATGAAAACACTAAAAACATAAAACAAATTTCATGATTTTAATTTTCCCCTATACCATACAAGTAAAACATCTAGAACACTACATATTGAAACATATCTAAAATTAATAAAAGGATTAGTTAAAACTAAATTCAAATAAAATTTACTTACAGCAAATTGACATGTTAAAAATAGCTCATATTTACTATAGTAACTAACAAATTCAGCTTATTTGGGAACCAATTAATATCCAACACTAGAAGTCATTGAGAGTCTTTCTTTGCTGCGATTATCTACAACAATAGAGAGAAGAAAGCTGGCCACGTATAGACCCATGCTTCTTACTCAGCATGTACAATGAGATCTTTCACACACAATGCCTTTGTTCATATAAGCTAGTAGTGAAAACATAGCGCCAAGTTTCCAAGTCCCATTTCAAAAGTTCTATTAGGCTAAGCACATGAAAGTTGAATTTAAAACTTCACACGTCAAAAGTTCTATTCGGCTAAGCACATGAAGGTTGAATGTCCCAATTACTAAAAGAACGTAACTATTATGACGTAAAAAGAAAAGCACTATTCTAAAAGTAGACACGATTCTAGATTATAATTGCTAGATCTATGGAGCAAACTCATATGGAATCATCATTATTAACCTTTTTTCCTTTTATTTGTCCTCCATTATTAATTTGGTTCAAAGCAAAAAAACGAAAAAACAAACGAAGAACTACACATGGTATAAAGTTCAAGTCATTTCATATATACACGAAAAAGCTAAAATGATCATGTAAAACAAGAAACTCCAACACAACTTGTCATCTAATTGAATGTTAGGCAACTAAGAAACAACATGCAGATAAGATGAGTGTTGTTGAGATGAGGATGCTAAGGTGGCTGTGTGACAACACTAGAAAAGGCGAAGTTAGGAATGAGTATATTTTAGAATGGGTAGGAGTAGTACCAATAGAAGATAAGTTGAGAGAGAATAGATTGAGATAGTTTGGTCATATACAACGGAGACCAATAGAGACAGTAGTGAAGAGATGTGATACAGTGACTGTAGATGGTAGTGTTAGGGGAAGGGGAAGAGGTAGACTTAGATTGACGTGGACTAGTGTAGTAAATAGAGATATGAATCTTCCTAATTTGACTAACGAAATGGACTGGAGAAGAAGGATTCATGCAGCCGATCCCATTTGATGGGACTTAAGGCTTGGTTTGGTTTGGTTTGGTTTGGTTATGATCTCTTATTTTCCAAAATAACAAGCTTGTTACATGGACTCTTCTACTTACCCCAATGCACTTGTGTCCACCTGATATGACATGGGTAAAGTGTAGAATGTGTCTGACACCCATACCCAATTTAGACACTTGGATCTTATAATTTTATATGATATATGAAAGAAAGACACTCACTTTTGCTAGTAAAGAAAATTTTCTAGTTTCTCATACAAATAGGTGATTTAAATTCCATATTTCCTTGAATCCCATTTGATTTTAAGTAAATTTTTAAATAATTTACAACGTCTTATCTAAGAATTATATAATACGCAAAAAATAAGTGTTAAAGGCATATCTCTGTACTCATATCCAACTTTTGGATGCATATCCAACTTTTGGATGCATATCTCAATATCCTAATATTTTGGTTTAGGAAGATCTAAGCTTTCACATGCACCAACACCCGCAACGGCACACAATATCCATACCTGAGTCCATATAACATGGATAACAAAACATTTACATCCTTCCAACTTCATTTCGTTGTTTCAAACTCTTTTCTAATTAACATATATCCTTTTAGAGTCTTTATGTCATTGAAATATTAAAAACTTAAGCTATTGTAGCCCTTAAAAGTTAAATAGTCCTTGAAAATATTAGGTTGCGTTTGGTAGAGTTTTAGAATTATGATTTGAGAATAGAGTTGTATTTTGAGTTTGTGAGTTTTAGAATTATAGTTTGAGTGTACAAAATTTATTTCGTTATGAGTTTTAAAAAGAGTTGGAATTGAGTGATGTGACATATAATATTAAAAGGTGGGTGCTTTGAAAAATGTTTTGAAAAGTGAGTGGAATTAATTTTCTAAAGTTGTAACCAAACAACACATTCAAACTAAGGGGTAGAATTAAATTTCAAAAGCTCTACCAAACAGAGCCTTATATTTTCATCAAAACTTTCATTAAGTAAGCAATCAAATTTTACTTGTCCTTCTATAAAATTATATATAGTCTTAGAGGTTATGTATAATTTAAAAGGTGGTAATAACTGAATGACAATAAGGAATCCTAAACCTAATAGTCCCTAAAAAGGTTTTTGAGAAAATTACCCATCAGCTTGATCTTGTAAGACCATCCCTTTTATATTTGCAACTTCTTTGAGAGCTACCCTCCACCTCTCCACCTTTTCCATCCATTCCTTTTTCCTTTCATCTGTTTCCACCATAAATTGCTCTTCATGATTGGCAAACGCTTCTGCAAAACTCCCCATCTGCATCTGAACTTCAGACGGGTTCACTTTATAGAAGATTGGCAAAATTTTACGTCCAACAGCCTTCCTCCGTTGGAGAATTTTTAGAAGTTCATCAAGGCACCATTCTGACAAAGCAAAATCTTTTGATAAGACAATTATTGAAATCTTGGATTCATGGGTTGCTTGTCGAAATTCTGACTCCATATCTTCTCCTTTCTCAAGCTCATCATGAGCTCTAAAAGTGTGAATTCCTGCACGCACCAGTGCTGTATAAAGATGATCTGTAAAGGACCAACCGGTGTCTTTGTTGCTGAAACTCAAGGACACCTGATAAGTACTTCGAGACGTGGAAGAGGAGGCTTTCTGGGTCCTTGCAGCAGCCATTGGAAAAAACTCTGCACATAAATGAAAAATCTATTCAGTCTGAGAGGGCACCATGGATAGCTGTAGAAGACGAAATAAAAATTTTGAATTAACTAAAGAAGCGACATATTCAAAATCAATGAGCCAAATTAGTTTGCAAAATCATGATATCCATATGAAAAGATGACTAATAGGGTCAACACCCACAGGGAAATTTAAAAAAAGGTAAATTACACTGACCTTTCTTTAAGATTGAAGAAAATACAATAAGACCCACAAGCTTAGCATAATTATACTGAGTTTCCTTAAGATTTTAATTAATATAATACTTGGCTCCATTTTCATCAAAAATTTGTTAGTCGTATGAATATAAAAATGATGTTGTCATTTCTTCTACATTGAAATGTATATTTTACCGGATGTATCTTTGTGTCCTTACCATCTATATTAATTTTGATTTTTTTAACCTTACTAAAAGAGAAGTTAGTTTAATTATGTCAAAACTCTGAGACTTGTATTTTCTTCAAACTTCAAGACAGGTCAGTTTAATTTACCTAAATAAAATTATCAAATCAAAGTTTGTTGAACCAAAGCCTTGGAACTAACCTGGTAAATTATCCCACCATTTCCTTCCTAGCCAAACATCATGATTTATTTATTTTTCCTTAATGTGACCAACAGTTCATGCATCTTCCAGGTTGCTCACATTGCCGCGTTCAATGTTTCTTTCTTGCTCCAACAAAAAGGAAAATTCCTAACTTCTCTATTCATTTCAATCCCTCCAATTGATGGCGGGTATAATATGGCAAGAAATGGCCTTTAACTCTATAGGTTGTTGGAAGGCTATAAATATTTGGCTTAATGATTAAACTCACTTGGACATCAGACAAAAGAATTGAGTTCTTTCTAGGAACTCAGGTCAAAAACGTCAGCACCGGCTTTACTAACACCCCAGTAGGAGAAAATTTTCAGTTTTTTTTTTTTTCCTTTTCTTTTCTGATAGGCAAAATAAAGGACAAACTCATGGAATCCATCATTTGAATGCAAAAAATGCATGTTAAGAACAAGCCGGCAGTGAAACCAACATGAATGTCTCCCCCTAAAAAAGTCTAAAACAGATCTAACTCCAATGTTTGTCAAGCAGACAAAAGATTAATAGGTTACCAAGGCCAAGCCTCCAATAGCTAGTAAAAAAATATTTTGGCTGTGAATTAATGTATTACAAACCCACCACTAAAGTTTTTGGCAACATCACCGACCTCCACTAAAATAAAAGAAACGAACTTCTCTTGAAAGAAGGTTACTGAGTGTAGTGGGCTGTAACCATTGCCAGATATTTGAGGTATTCTCAATTGGTTTGAGTTGTATTAAATTTATTTATTTATGTTTGTGGTCCGCTACAAAAATTTTAATTCATTGAGGCAAAACAACATACACCCTGTCTAGATCCACAGTTCAGGCAATGTGGAACTTTCCACAAACATATTAACCCCTTTTAATCTTATAATCGTAGCCAATAATATGCAATTTGCCTTCTACACATCCGCAAAAGCTCAACAACCCAAAATCTTTCACTCTCTCTGTATATATATATATATATATATGTACATGTATAAGCATGGTGTGCTTTGGGTCTATCAAGAAAGTACAATGGGTGGCCGACCAAGAAGAACAAAGAATGGTAAAAGAATGTTGGGTTTTACCACATTAAGCAAAAGCATAAAAATAGTAGTAATCATAATTTAAAATTAAAAAAAAAAAAAAAAGAACATGATCATGAAGAAGAACAAGAGGGCAAAATTACCAACCAATCACCTGTCCTCTTGGTCCCTCTCATGGTTTGCTCTGTTTGCACAAACCATATATGGAAGAATGAATTCTGATTATTGGTGATCCACTGACACCATCTAGGGTTAAGGTCATTTGCTTCAAGAAAAAGCTATGTATGCGCTGTGTTTTCACAAACAAAATCCTTTTTTGATTGCTCTGGCTGCGTTTGTGTATACATGATTTGGGTCTATCCAGACAAGACCCTTCTAATAAATGGCTTGCCCAAAAATTTAAAATAAAAAAAATAAAAAAAAAATTGTGAGTTTGGGTTCCAAAAAAGGTGGGTGAGTTGAATAGATCTGATCTTTTCAAGGGCTGGAGGAGAAATAGAATAACAGAGTATCAAAATGGCCTAACAACTCACCTCTTTGATTTGATTCTGGTTCGCCGCGTGTGAAATGCAGCCTATTTTCAAAAGTAGGTTAAGGATTAATTTTTTAATTTTTTCAAAATTTTTAAAAAAACATATGAAAAAATAAAAATGTAATGTTATTGAATAAACTAACAAAATTGACTTTTAATCAAGCTACACAACCCCAATTGTTGTTGAAAGCAAAATATTTGCGTTTGATCGACTTCTATTTACATCCACTGACACCATTTTATCATTTTATAAAGCATTAGATTTCCAACGGTAGTAGGTATTTTACCTATCTAAATATTATTATAAAGTATATATTTTATTTTGCCTATCAACTGTTTTTTATTTTTATTCCAACCATACTCTTTATTTTAGTTATTTATCTAAATACTATTAATTTTATAGAATGTCACGTCAACAACAAAGATGGAGGGAAATGATCCTAACGATTGAATACATTTTGCCTAGCGTTGAAGGCTAGCTACATGTGGCTAGTGAATATGAGTTGAGCAAAAATGCCTAATCATATGCCTAGTGCATTGGAATTAAAAAAAAGTAAATCACACTAGGCATTTTAACTGACAAGTATTATATGCCTAGTGCATTGGAGATGCTCTTATAGAAGTCGACTTTTATAGAAAAACAGGAAACCTCTGTATGTCTTTACAAATATAAATAGCCTCTTCAATCACTTTATTATTTCTATATGTATATTATGAAATTGGCTCTGTATGTGTTATGTTTTTGCTATCTGAATTTGTGATGTGTATTGATACTAATATTTTATTGTAGGCTTCAAATGGGGCAATAGAACCAATCTACAACTTGTCAATTCATAATTTTAAAATCTTGCAGTCCACAAAGAAGACATGAAAGAATTACTTATCAATTAGACAGAAAAAAAAGAAAGAAAGAAATTACACAAACAAGCACAAAATCATTTGTACCTTCCATATTTTTGTAATTGTTTTTCTCTAAAAGTAATTCCCCCAAAGGATTTCAGATGGTGGATGCCTTCAATGATGCGGATATGGGTAAGAATTTAATTGAATAAATGTCAAGTTGGGAATTCCATTTCTGCTGATCTTGTATGTATACCATAACTTTTCATACTTACATGCTTTCATGCAATGAAGTCTTTTTTTTTTCCTGTGAACATGTTAAAAAGTAATTGCTTAAAAACCTCTACAACGAGAAAATCAGGAAGTGCAATTGGGTGTGTGATCATGTTAAAAGGTAACCGCTACAATAGTTTTAATAGGTGGTTAAGGCTTGGTTTGGTTTGGTTTGGTTTGGTTATGATCTCTTATTTGCCAAAATAACAAGCTTGTTACATGGACTCTTCTACTTACCCCAATGCACTTGTGTCCACCTGATATGACATGGGTAAAGTGTAGAATGTGTCTGACACCCATACCCAATTTAGACACTTGGATCTTATAATTTTATATGATATATGAAAGAAAGACACTCACTTTTGCTAGTAAAGAAAATTTTCTAGTTTCTCATACAAATAGGTGATTTAAATTCCATATTTCCCTGAATCCCATTTGATTTTAAGTCAATTTTTAAATAATTTACAACGTCTTATCTAAGAATTATATAATACGCAAAAAATAAGTGTTAAAGGCATATCTCTGTACTCATATCCAACTTTTGGATGCATATCCAACTTTTGGATGCATATCTCAATATCCTAATATTTTGGTTTAGGAAGATCTAAGCTTTCACATGCACCAACACCCGCAACGGCACACAATACCCATACCTGAGTCCATATAACATGGATAACAAAACATTTACATCCTTCCAACTTCATTTCGTTGTTTCAAACTCTTTTCTAATTAACATATATCCTTTTAGAGTCTTTATGTCATTGAAATATTAAAAACTTAAGCTATTGTAGCCCTTAAAAGTTAAAATAGTCCTTGAAAATATTATATTTTCATCAAAACTTTCATTAAGTAAGCAATCAAATTTTACTTGTCCTTCTATAAAATTCTATATAGTCTCAGAGGTTATGTATAATTTAAAAGGTGGTAATAACTGAATGACAATAAGGAATCCTAAACCTAATAGTCCCTAAAAAGGTTTTTGAGAAAATTACCCATCAGCTTGATCTTGTAAGACCATCCCTTTTATATTTGCAACTTCTTTGAGAGCTACCCTCCACCTCTCCACCTTTTCCATCCATTCCTTTTTCCTTTCATCTGTTTCCACCATAAATTGCTCTTCATGATTGGCAAACGCTTCTGCAAAACTCCCCATCTGCATCTGAACTTCAGACGGGTTCACTTTATAGAAGATTGGCAAAATTTTACGTCCAACAGCCTTCCTCCGTTGGAGAATTTTTAGAAGTTCATCAAGGCACCATTCTGACAAAGCAAAATCTTTTGATAAGACAATTATTGAAATCTTGGATTCATGGGTTGCTTGTTGAAATTCTGACTCCATATCTTCTCCTTTCTCAAGCTCATCATGAGCTCTAAAAGTGTGAATTCCTGCACGCACCAGTGCTGTATAAAGATGATCTGTAAAGGACCAACCGGTGTCTTTGTTGCTGAAACTCAAGGACACCTGATAAGTACTTCGAGACGTGGAAGAGGAGGCTTTCTGGGTCCTTGCAGCAGCCATTGGAAAAAACTCTGCACATAAATGAAAAATCTATTCAGTCTGAGAGGGCACCATGGATAGCTGTAGAAGACGAAATAAAAATTTTGAATTAACTAAAGAAGCGACATATTCAAAATCAATGAGCCAAATTAGTTTGCAAAATCATGATATCCATATGAAAAGATGACTAATAGGGTCAACACCCACAGGGAAATTTAAAAAAAGGTAAATTACACTGACCTTTCTTTAAGATTGAAGAAAATACAATAAGACCCACAAGCTTAGCATAATTATACTGAGTTTCCTTAAGATTTTAATTAATATAATACTTGGCTCCATTTTCATCAAAAATTTGTTAGTCGTATGAATATAAAAATGATGTTGTCATTTCTTCTACATTGAAATGTATATTTTACCGGATGTATCTTTGTGTCCTTACCATCTATATTAATTTTGATTTTTTTAACCTTACTAAAAGAGAAGTTAGTTTAATTATGTCAAAACTCTGAGACTTGTATTTTCTTCAAACTTCAAGACAGGTCAGTTTAATTTACCTAAATAAAATTATCAAATCAAAGTTTGTTGAACCAAAGCCTTGGAACTAACCTGGTAAATTATCCCACCATTTCCTTCCTAGCCAAACATCATGATTTATTTATTTTTCCTTAATGTGACCAACAGTTCATGCATCTTCCAGGTTGCTCACATTGCCGCGTTCAATGTTTCTTTCTTGCTCCAACAAAAAGGAAAATTCCTAACTTCTCTATTCATTTCAATCCCTCCAATTGATGGCGGGTATAATATGGCAAGAAATGGCCTTTAACTCTATAGGTTGTTGGAAGGCTATAAATATTTGGCTTAATGATTAAACTCACTTGGACATCAGACAAAAGAATTGAGTTCTTTCTAGGAACTCAGGTCAAAAACGTCAGCACCGGCTTTACTAACACCCCAGTAGGAGAAAATTTTCAGTTTTTTTTTTTTTCCTTTTCTTTTCTGATAGGCAAAATAAAGGACAAACTCATGGAATCCATCATTTGAATGCAAAAAATGCATGTTAAGAACAAGCCGGCAGTGAAACCAACATGAATGTCTCCCCCTAAAAAAGTCTAAAACAGATCTAACTCCAATGTTTGTCAAGCAGACAAAAGATTAATAGGTTACCAAGGCCAAGCCTCCAATAGCTAGTAAAAAAATATTTTGGCTGTGAATTAATGTATTACAAACCCACCACTAAAGTTTTTGGCAACATCACCGACCTCCACTAAAATAAAAGAAACGAACTTCTCTTGAAAGAAGGTTACTGAGTGTAGTGGGCTGTAACCATTGCCAGATATTTGAGGTATTCTCAATTGGTTTGAGTTGTATTAAATTTATTTATTTATGTTTGTGGTCCGCTACAAAAATTTTAATTCATTGAGGCAAAACAACATACACCCTGTCTAGATCCACAGTTCAGGCAATGTGGAACTTTCCACAAACATATTAACCCCTTTTAATCTTATAATCGTAGCCAATAATATGCAATTTGCCTTCTACACATCC